TGCATGAAACATGTTGATAACTTTTTTTAATGAGCAACCAAAATAAATCATTTCAAAAGTTGTCAGAAAACCTAATTTATGTCATCTGTTTTCTGTGAGATTGTGTTACAGCACAACTCCCAGACCATTAACTGCCTGTAACTCAGACATGTCTGCTGTCATTAACTTCGTGCTGCCAGCACCTCTCCCTGTTCCCACAGCGCACGGCCCGTGGACCTTCACCAGCCTCGCCTGCGTGTTGTTCTCAGGTGGAGTGCTGTGTGGGGGTCACCCGACCGCTCTGTGAGAGCCTTCTGTGCCTGTAGTTCCTCTGGGTCGCAGACGGCTTCCCTCTCCGTAGGTCCTTGTCTGGAAATGAGGAATGTCTTACAAGCATGCCTAGTCCTAATCATCTCATCCTGTGTTTGTGATTGATGTTTGCCTGCCTAAATGTACAAACCACCATTGTGTCCAAAGCGCAGCTATTCATGACTTAATTTTCTAATCCCACCACAGAGAAAGTGGCTCATGCCAAAGAAGAAAACCTTAGTATGCATCAGATGCTGGATCAGACTTTACTGGAGTTAAACAACATGTGAAAACCTCCTTAGCTGCGACCACATTCGTTCATGTTGTTTTTGTTGCTTTTTGTCTTATTTTGTGTTTTTGGTTTTTTTTTAACACCATGCTTACCATGAAACCCCTTAAATGCATTTTTATTTACTTTTACCACTGTCACAAAAACACCCACAAGTACAGCTGCATCATGGGGTGGGGAAATACACACACACACACACACACACGAAGGCAGGCCCCGTCAGAGCGAGGGCGATTTCAATGTGCCATTTCCCAGGTTGAGTTGCCGCACTTCCTAGAGAGTTTAGCAACACAGTATGCTTAGTCAGTCTAGCAATCCTCACTGGAGCAGAAAGATTCCCGCTCAGAGTGCCAACGACATAATCAATAGGAAGATTACTGTTGGAAACAATCAGGTGTGGATTGGTGCTACTTGAAACAGAAGGTCCCACTGTGGTCTTTTGTTCAATGTACAATTTAGAATTCTGTCCAACACTAATTTATTTTGTCTTGAGTTTTACTATGAGACGAGACTATGGATTCTGTGTGTCCGAATTCATTAAAGCCAAGAGTTTGTAAGCCACACTGCTCTTTCAAGACTTCTATTTCCTTCTTATCGGCACACTTGGAGCTCATTTCCATTCGTAGGGTAGCAGGCAATGTGGATTTCCACTCTTTCTGTGTCCTCATGTTAAAGTGGAAATTTAGGCACTACATGCAATTGATAAAGAAAAAAACATTTTCTTAAGAGTGATAACTACAGTAGCTCCCCTCCCTTTATCCACGGGGATTATGTTCCAAGACCCCTAATGGATGGATGCCTGAGACCGTGGCTAGTACTGAACCCTGTATGCTACGTGTGGTTTCCTGTACATACATTCCTTTCACTTGGGGAGCACTTTACAGCTTCTCTTTGGCAAATCTGAATGGCCAGCATCACCACTCTTGCACTTTGGGGCCATTAAGTAAAGTAAGGGTCACTTAAACACAAGCACTGTGATGCTGAGATGGTCAATCTGTAACCGAGATGGCGACCAAGTGCCTCAAGGGCGGGGATCGTAGAGTGCGGGTGCTGGACCCAGGGATGATGCATGTCCTGGGCGGGACGGAACGGGACCGCGCAAGATTTCAACACGCTACTCAGAACGACGCTCAATTTAAAACGTGTGAATTGTTTATTTCTGAAATCTTTCACTTAATATTTTCCAACCATGGTTGACCTCAGTGAACTGAAACCAAGGACCACGAAACCGCGGATAAGGGGGGACTGCTGTACATAAAGACATTGTATAATGATATGGAATAAAATGCACATTGTAGGACATTTTCTAAACTTGGCGGTCCTGTTGTTTGTATGTTTTTACTTTGTGAACTTTAGATCATGTGATCAACCTACCTTCTCTCATGAATGGTTTCTTAAAGCAAAACAGTAAACCAAAGTCAGGGGAAATCTGGGTTCCACGTATTATCCTCCCAAAAACATTCCAGGCAACATCTCTTTTGGTCTGTTCAAGTGGCCAGCAAGCTGAAAAGACCCTTCCCCAAAGCCTTTCTCCGTGTTGTTGGTGTTAATCTGCATGCACATAGAGGCCTTTTGTAATTTTACTGGTTTGGAGATTGTCCCTCAAATGTGAGCTCCATCTTCAGCAGTGGCATACCCACGCATCAACAGACTGGTTGAGCACCAAACCTGCGCGCTCTACCAGCAGTGTGACTCAGAAGTATTGCTTTAAGAGCCTTTATGATTTTCTGCTTTCTAACAGTGAGTTCTAAATTCCAACACATCTTTATTTCCTCAGACTTGGAAACTGAAAATATCATAGGCTGTTTGGCTTTAAGCAAACAAACAAACATGGTTACAAGCAGTGGTAGTCGGCCAGACTTGTGCTGCGGGGAGAAGAGGGACATCTCATGAAAAGCAGACATGGTGGACTAGAAATAAAACGCGTTGGGATGCGTGGGTAACGGTTTCTCTGTAGCCGCTCCTCCAAGCCCTTCGATCAGGTATTTTCTCTTCACAGAAAAAAAGTGTAAGGTGAATAAACACTCTGGGTCTCACCTCTTCGCCACCACAGGCTCCCCCCGCCAGTCCTCACTAGACGGACACCTCTCTGCCCACCCCAGTCAGGCCTTTCCTAAACCCAGCACTCTTCACTGTGGGAGCCAGATCTGGCTTCCTCTTTGCTAGCTGTCTCCTGTCAGGTCCCTGGATCTGAGATTCCTCATCTCTGAAAGGGGGAGATTAGTACCTAGCTCTTTGGTGATGATTGTAGGGTTGGAATGGATAGCCCAGGTAGTAATGTACACATAGCACAGGCCCTGGCACCTGCTTGATGACCATTAACTGCTGCTGTCCTCAGCTTGCCATGTTGGTAGGCCACCACGGAGAGTATTGAATATCCTCCTTGGTGAAGCTGGGGCAATGCTAACTTTGCCCCAAATGATAATGGGTTTTTGTTGTTGTTTGAGAGAGTGGAATCAGACACGGATTCTTCGGTCCATGGGCTGAAGTTCTGTCCACTGAACCCAACCAGCTAGGGCCAAAGGATGGTTATTAATGCTATTCTCAGACACCATGTGCCACAACCTGTAGTGAGCACCTGACAGGTGTTATTTCAGCTTCACATCTGTCCCCATTTTACTAACAGGCTCAGGGAGGCGTGAACCTACTCAGTTCTGTAGCTCACAAGTGGTGGGGTTGGGTTCCAAACCCAGGGCTGAGTGACAGCAAAGCCCTGTGTGGATTCTTCCTCTCCTTGTTTCAGACGTTTTACAGCAGAAGAAAGGCACCTACTAGACATAGAAACAGAAGCAGCAGCAGGTATAGTTGGGAGAGGAGGAAACACAGTGACCACAAGTGGGTTGGTTGAACTTCCTCCCTGGGTCCCAGGGATCAGATGAAATCAATTAATGAAACATCATGCCATTTCAAAGAATTAGTACCTGATCTTTCTGATAAATAGAAAAGGGAGAACACCCTGTCCCCACATGACACACACCTTGGTTCTGACCCAGTGAGATAAATGGAACACGCCGCTCTGTGAGGTCAGGGGAGAGAGATTAGGGCTCTTAGTGTGGCAATGCCGAGGCTGGGAGCCCATGTGGTCACCTTCAGAGAACCACGAAGTACAGAGAAGGAATTCAGGATTCATACTCTAAATTCCGTTGCTGAAACCAGGCAGGCCCAGACTTCAGCACGAACAGCTGGAAGGTGCCCTGTTGAGAGTAAAACACTGTGGAACTCTACAGAGAAAGGCTTAGGGGGAGAATATAAGCATCTTCCCAAAATGTTTAAACTTGTGGTGAGAGTTCTGTAATCTGTCATTAAGGATGAAAGAAGAGGGCTTTGTGGATACAGTCTGAGATGCGTTGAAGAGAACAGTTCCTCTACTTATTGATCCAAGAGGTGCCGGTTTCGTTCACTAGTATGTGTCCTCTAGGATTTAATACATTTAGCCTGGTCTTTTTTTCTCCAGAAAACAAAAAGTCTTTTTTTTCTTGAACAAATATTTGAGTGTATGTTAACCATTTTTTTTCTACTTGTCAACACGATTTGTAGATGTGATTTTTTTTTCAATCTACAGTCAGATGTTCAGAAAAAAAAATCTGAATTATCCAATTAAAAAAAAAGAAAGCACAGAGGCGCTCAGGGAGCCGTCATTTTCAGAATTGGAGACAGGGGTTTGGAAAGAAATTAGAAATGTCAGGCAGTGCAAGAAGTGTTCCTTCCATCAGATACAGTTTTTGACACTGAGGGTTTTCAGAGCTGCATTCCTCCAACAGATGTCATAAATTCTGTGTGTCAAACCGTGCATGCAGCTATGCTGAGGTTTCACTAATACGAATGCAACTTTTGCCAAATTTTTGACAAATGGGTATTGACCTGGAGGGTGGGACTGGTTTCGGCTGCCTGTGAGTTTTATTTCCATCGCTTGCCAGGGCCGTGCAGTACAGACCTTATCAGGGCCTGCCAGGCTGGTGTCCTAACAGATGCCGATTCAGGGCGGGAAGAAGGCTTACGTTCATCGAGGCCTAGAGACAGTTAGCTGGTTAGCGGCTTGCTCAAGGTCATTCAGCTGGTGGGGTCAGCCCCGTGGAGCTCAGCTCTCCTATGGGGCAGGCAGCCCGTGGCGGGGTTGGCAAGCAGAGGGGCCAGCTTTGAATCCTGCTCCAGCTCTCACTGGGTGCCCTGGGTTAATTTCACCATTTGAGCAGCAAGTTCTTTATCCTTAAAGGAGATAGATGGTTTGCCTCTTCACGTGCTTGTGCGCTTCTTCGCAAGGCTGAGAACAAAACGAGGTGAGGTGATGTGAGTACAGTCCCTCTCCCTCCTACTCTCATCCACTTCCTTTCTGCTCCTCAGCCCTGAGCCTCCTTCCCACATTGCATTGGGTCTTTAGGGAAACTGGAAATAACTTTTTTCCTCTTAAACGTGAAAATCCCCAGTACCACTCCCCCAGAGGCCACTCATTGCATTGCACGAATTCAAAATATATTCGTTGATAAGACACATGGCCCAAGACACAAATGCTAAAGTAATAATTCTGGAGTCATGACCCACCTGTACCCAGGAGGTGAAGAATGCCTCCAAGTAATAGGTTCACATTTCATTCTGAAGCAAAACACTGGCCCTTGAAAATAGGTTTCTGTTTCTCCATCCATGAACTGCACTGGGTACGCTGCTGAGTGAGGGGACAGCATGGGATCGGCTCCGAGGCCTTGCTGCAGGCGTCTGTGAAGGCGGTTCAGACCTCACTTGCTCTCGAGGAACCACTTGGTGGGACCACTTCCAAATCCAGAGGAAAGCTAATGAGGGAAAGGTAAAAAGCCCTTTGTGTGTGTGTGTGTGTGTGTGTGTGTGTGTGTGACCAAGGGAGGTTCTCCATTCTGTCTCCCAAGGGGCCCACCAGGCCTGGCTGGGCCGGAGACATGGAAGAGTTGGCTCCTCTATGGGGATGGGGATGAGGAGGTGGTGAGTTCTGGTCTGTTTTCAACTCAGAAGATACTCAGGGTTTGGAATACTGCCTTGCCAGTGGAACCCTTGTTGCCTAGACTCATAAATCGAATATTAAACTCCCAAGTACATGCAATGGAATAATGTAGCCCCCATGGCCTTCTAATGAGCCAGGTTTTGATATACTGATCACATCTCACATCAGCACCCCTGGCCCCCACCCATCCTAAGCCCGCTTCCTCTGGGAAAACCATGTTTGACAATAAAACAAAGTGCCAAGTAACCCCTTGAATCACACTGTGATCAAAGGACACTGGGGAGGAAGTGCCTCTACCCTTCAAGGTTCCTTCAGCTGGTCTACATGATCAAATTAACAAGCGAAAATAGCTAAACTTAACTACATCTGTTCGTATGAGAATTCCACATACATGAGAGGCTCAGAAATAGAAGGTTAAAATGAGGTATATATGACTTTTTAAAATTGATTTCAGAGAGGAAGGGAGAGGGAGAGAGAGAACATCAATGATGAGAGAGAATCATTGATCAGCTGCCTCCTGCACGCCCCCAACTGGGGATCAAGTCTGAAACCCCGCATGTGCCCTGACCAGGAATCTAACCATGACCTCTTAGTTCATAGGTCACCGCTCAACCACTGAGTCACACCAGCTGGGCTATATGACTTTCTGAATAGGGATAAGACAGATACTTCGCAGCTTCAGAGGGAAGAAAGGTTGTTTGCAGACAAAAGAGCAGATGCTCAATAATGAGATGTTGGCCCTGCCCTGTGGATGGATAGGTCATAATATGTTATCGCTAGAAATAACTCTTTAAGTTATTTACAAGGCCCGAGTTTGCATTTTTTAAGGAAGAGGTAAAAGTTTCATGAGCCAGAGGGTCTTGATTACCTTTAGTTCAAGATAATTTACATGCCAAAGTGGCACATCTTGGGGAGGCCCTGACCCCATTCAACACCATTAGCTGATACAAAATGGTGAAGTATTATTGCTAAAAATCCAGTGAGCAGCCTATGAGAAATGTGAGCCAGCACCCAGGCAGAAGGTTTTCCGTTTTTGTTTTTAGGTGGCTCCATAGAGATGGCTAGCATGCCTGCATCTGGGAACCCCGCTAGGGCGTAATTGTTGGCTTATTCAACTGGAAGATTGCCATTCCGTGATTTGTCTTCCTGCTATGTTCTCAGAAATGATTCTTTCTAGAACACTCCAGGATTGTCTGCCTTAGCAGTTTCGCAAGAAATTAAAAGGGAACAAGGTAGAATACTTTGCCTAGGAGTAGGAATGTACTAAATGTAAAGAGAATGTGCCTCAATGAAGTGTTTCTAGTCTCAAATCCTGAATATATTGCTTGCATCTCTTCAATCG